TTTCACAAAATTCAACAATGTCAAAAAACAAAACTGCATCAACAGGAAACATGAGGTTATGGCGTCGCCAAATGCCCCTACTGATGAGAGGTGGGAGGTGTTATATCTGGACCTGCTACTGCTCGTCATCTAGGTGAGGTTTCTTGATGGTTGGGGAGTCGGAATCCTTATCGCCATCGACTTCTTCGCTGGACTGGGAGGCTCCTTCGGCTAGGGTGATACCGTCTTCAGCCGTGTCTTTCTTCGCCATTCCCTTTCGCGGAGGTATGACAGTGAAAAACGCCTTTTCCCAGTCACCATGATCAGAAAAATGAGCCAGAATTTCGAACACATGATTGATTGTGAGCACCTGAAAGAGCTCTTATATAAAGAAGCCTAGGAGATGAAAACTATGGCTACAAACATATTTTGTCAAACGACAGTAAGTTACATCGCGGCAGTAGTCCTTCACAGCGAAGCGAGACGATGTGTATAACAACTAGATGGATTGATCCAAAATTAAGGCAGGCAAAATTAAGCAATCTAGAAGTGGGAATGCAAAAATAGCCAGAGACAAATGTTTGTGTAGAAACATTGATAAAATAAAATAGTAGGGCCAATGAAATTTAGATCATGGGCTCTTATTTTACTAAACCGACCTTGCGTGTCTTCATCTGCACGAATTCATCGATAGGAAGTCGGGCATGACCATATCCAGCTTTTACAGCTAGTTCATAGCAAAGTCCTTTCTGACTGTTATGATCAACAAGACCACCGATAACGTAAACTTTAGCTTCATCCAATTTTGTTAAAACCTGAAATAAGCCACATCAAAAGCGAAGAACTTTTCAATGCAGTAGCCGCTTACGTTATCCGAATCTGCTGTGAGATAGATTATTTCATTGGGTTTGAACAAATCGTTAATTGACTCTGTCTTTATGAAGATATCTTGGTTCTGATTGGATTCTATGCTGTCGTAGATCTGGAAATATAGCTGTGCCTGCAAAGAATCAGAGAAGCAACAAACAAGTCACTTGAAGGAGTTAGCATACAAATTTTAGATTTGACAGATTTCTCAGCTGTT